AATACAAAAAATTAGCGGAGTGTGGTGGTGCACACCCGTAATCCCAACTACTTGGGAGGCTGAGGAAGGACAATCACTCGAACCAGGGAGGTGGAGGCTGCAGTGAGCCGAGACCACACCACTGCACTCCAGCCTGGGCAACAGAGCGAGATTGTCTCAAAAAAAAAAAAAAATTATACATACACACACACACACACACACACACACACACACATATATATATATATACACACAGCCTGAGTAACAAAGTGAGACCCTGTTTCTAAATTAATTAATTAAGCCAGGGCCAGTGGCTCATGCCTATAATCCCAGCACTTTAGGAGGCCAAGGCGAGCAGATCACTTGAGCTCAAGGGTTCGAGACTAGTCTGGCCAATATGGTGAAACCTCATTTCTACTAAAAATACAAAAAACCAAAAATTAGCCGGACATGGTAGTGCATGCCTGTAGTCCAGCTACTTGTGCCTGTAGTCCCAGCTACTCAGGAGGACGAGGCAGGAGAATCGCTTAAATCCAGGAGATGGAGGTTACAGTGAGCCAAGATCCTACCACTGCACTCCAGCCTGGGCAACAGAGAGAGACTCTGTCTCAAAAATAAATAATTTAAAAATTTTTTTAAATTAAGGATTAAAAAAAGTAAATATGAACTAAAAACTCAGGAATTGGATATTTAAGCTGGTCAAATAGGAAATTACACAAATTTGTGCTTAACAAGAAGTTCACTTTAAAAGATGCCTACTTACAAAGAGGCCTAAAAGCAAAAACAGATTAGATTTCCATTTTTAAGAGTTTAGCAAAGAATCAAACTTGTTATTATATGTAATTTTTATTGCAATAGTAGCTTACTTCTGCCATGTACAAGAATTATTTCCTTGACTGTTCAAAACAAGGAAGAACAGAGGTTTCCAAGAGCCTTTGAAGATTACAGAATAAACACCAAAAGAGATAAACACCTTACTCCTACGCCAGTCTGTACTTTCTTCTGAAACCTTGCTTTGACTACCTGCTCAACTTTCATACTAATTTGTCTTAACATGTTTTCAAAATATTACATCTGCCAGGTGTGGAGGCTCTTGCCTGTAACCCCAGCACCTTGGGAGGCTGAGGCAGGAGGACAGCTTGTGCCCAGGAGTTAGAGACTAGGTTGGGCAACAAAGCAAGTTTAAAAAAAAAAAAAAAAATTTTAACAGCCAGGTATGGTGGTGAGTGCCTGTAGTCCCAGCTAATTGGGAGGTTGAGGTGGGAAGATTTCTTGAGCCTGGGAGGTCGCGGTTGCAGTAAGCTATGATCATGCCACTGCACTCCTCACAACAGAGCGAGACCCTATTTCAAAAAAAATAAAAACAAAATTACATCTGACCACTCTAAGGCATCTGACAATGCTGACTGCTTCCTTAACAGTCATTTGCAGATTATTTGAATCCTTAGTTTCCACTCACTTTATTCCTGGTGTTCTTCCTATCCTTCTGTTCATTCCTTGTCAGGCTGCAATTTTCTCCACTCAGTATTTAAGTACATATTCTCCAGCACTTTGCTTTATCTAGATGCTCTTCAATCTTTCCATTTATATACCTCACTCGGTGACTACGTCGACACCCACAGCTTTAGCTCCATGTATTCCAGATCTACATATGGTATATACACTTAACTACTGAACACACAGTCAACAAATCTTACACACTGTCCTTAAAATGTCAGGAGTCTCTCTGCTCCATTCCTACTATCAATTCCTTAGTTCAGGTTCTAATCATTTCTCTCCCTGACACATCAATGAATGACCTCTTCACTAGTCTCACCACTAACAAGCTGAAAACCCTGCTATGAAGGTAAATTTTCTAAAAATGAAATGTGACCATGCTGCTCCTCTGCCAAAAATTATTTACTAGGTCTAGTATTATTCATTAGGTTATCTAATTATTTAATAGGTTTTCAGGAAAACGCTCAAATTAGCTTACACAGTAAGTTCCTGCCAATAACTCTAAAAGCTCCATCTCCACTACGCTGTCTTTGGCTCCAGCCAAATTTCAAAGTCCAGCTCACATTCATCCTCTGTACCCTCCTTGACTCTGGCATTCCCCACAAACCCTGAACACAAATGCTGACCTAAGGCGTTACTTCATCTAGGAAATCATCCCTATCCTTTAGGCTAATTTAGATACCTGCTCTAGATGCTCACATAAAATATCTTCTGTATCAATCACACTCATGTATAGGTCTCTCCAGCGGACTATTAACAGTCTCCAGGGAAACAGTACTTAGTAGTCCCTGCACCAGACAAATAGAAAGCATTCAACAACTGCAGGGAATGAATGGGGATTAAATGGGAATTTATATTTTAATAATGTTATTCTAATGATAATGAACTTGCTCCTTTAACTAGGAAAGTCAGTAGTCAAATCCTGTACTGTCATTGAAATGGCAATTAAAATTTTTCATTTTCTAACTGATCCACAGTAACCCAAAGTCCTTATCATTTCAACTCTCTATTCATTAATCAAAAATTGATTTTGTAGCCAAATACAAATTTCTTTAAAGGCACAGGTCTGTCCTTTGTGAAGAAGGCAGGGTAAATGACATAGATAACTATGTTACTTAAAAAATAGGTCAGGCGCCATGTCTCATGCCTGTAATCCCAGCACTTTGGGAGGCCACAGCAGGAGGCCAAGGCAGAGGATGACTTCAGCCTGGGAGTTCAAGACCTGACTGGGCAACATAGTGAGGCCCTGTCTCTATAAAAAAGAAAACAAAATTAGCCAGGCATGGTGGCATGCTCCTGTAGTCCCAGCAACTTGAGAGGCTGAGGCGGGACGGTTGCTTGAACGGGGGAAGTCAAGGCTGCAATGAAACGTGATCACACCACTGCACTCCACCCTGGACAACAGAGCAAGACCATGTCTCGAAAAAATAATTTTTAAAAATTCTCTCCAATTCCCCCACTAAACTCCAACTGATTAAGATCCTGTTCCTCCATTACCACCTCTTCCAAATTAAACTTTTTTCTCCCTCTGCCTATTCGTTAATTCATTGTTCAGGCAGAACTGTCTAAGCATAATGAGTTGATTTGAGAAAGGTCCTGAATTAAATACAATCATCTCCAACATTTTCCACAGTCTTGAGGTCAAACCAAATTATAGTCCTTGATTTAAAATGTCCCACAAGGGAAGTGGACTAGAGTAATCTACACGGAATTTTGGGGAGTGCTAAAAAATTACAATGAGGCCCATGAGGTCAATGACCCAAAGGATAATTAGAATGATTCTATCTAAAAAAATACCTGCTTTGTATATATACAGTTAGCAGCTATTACAACTTCCTCTCACCTTGCCCTCCTCCCTCCCTTTTATCTACCCACTGCCAACACAGCACTTAAATTTTTTTATATATTGGAAAGGGACCAAGTTATGCTAGATTAAAGGTGAAAGATCTATATTGTGCCCTAGACACCTCCAAACCTTTTTTTTTCATGTCAAATGGGTAATGTGTTGACCTTGTAACAAGGTTTGAGGGTGGCACATCTCACACATGCCTGTGAACACTCAATCATCACATTATGAACTACAAAAGGATCCCTCAAAACATTTCTCTAAGAATCTGCATTTGTTGCACAAAATAGTAAGATGTCATTCATCTCCCTTAAAGAGCGAAAGCGTAACTGGCATAATCTCTATCATGAAAATCCACACACTCTTGGCTCACACAACCAGCACAAAATAGAAATAAAGTAGACAGTGCAGTTAAGATTGGGGAACAAAATGAGAAGAGTTGGTATCAAGAAAACAACCAGAGTAAGGGCATTTGCAATTAAGACCCAAAAATTCAATCCATCCTTTACAAAATTATAGAGCCTTACCTCAAAAAAAAAAAAAAAAAAAAGTGGAAGGAGAATGAAATACATTTAGAAGGTTAGTCAATTCTTTTCGGTTGTTTGCAAGCACACGTAACTTTCAAGCCTGAGTGTATTTTTTAAAAATAAAGATTTCCAGGCCCCACCTGCCCAAAAATTCTTTTGTAAGTTTGGAATGGAGCCTGGGAATTGGTATGTTTACTTAAAAAGTTCCCGGGGGACTCTGATCATCAGTCAGGTCTGTCAGAAGGGCTATACACCTTTTCAAGAAGGGCGCTTTCCAACCCTTACTCACACCCTAGCCGTCCATAAAATCTTATCAAAGTTCTTGTAAATATGCCTGCCAATCAAACGCACGCGTTATCTCACCCAACCCCTTTGTGTTCTCCCCCACCCTGGGGAGCATTTCACTTTCGGCCCATTCCTCGTAACAGAAGTCTTCCTTTCTCCTCTCCACCCTTGTATTAATCCAGTAATAAGCAGAAAGGTAAAACAAAGGGGAACGCTCACTTCAATGCCCGAAAATCCTGTCGGTTTTCACAGACCAGAGAAGAAAACTCATTCTAGCTCCCTCTAACACACAGTGGACTGGAACCGAAACAAAACGCTCTGGAGGGTGTTCTGTGAAGCAGGGTTGAGGGGAAGTTACAGAAGAGCTCTTGGACCGAGGGGACGCACCAAGGTTCTGAAAGAGGAAACTTGAAAGCTGGGCAGGTCGCGGGGCGAGCGGGCCCGCGCGGGCACCGCCGGCCGCTTTTGACACTCGACACCCCAACCTTCACCCGGGTTGCTAAGAAACAAAAAGGCTCCAAGTTCCCTGCAATTCCTCCCGGGCCTGGCGGAGACTACTGGGGCCTCCGGGGCCTGAAGACGCCGCAGGGAACGGCCTGGCCACTGCCCCGAGGGCGCGAAAGCCAGGGAGAGCGGGAGAGCGGGAGCTCGGGCTGAGGGGGCAGGACGCGCAGAGCGGGCCCCGAGGCTAAGGAGGAGGGCGGCCCGGGGCTCTGAGGGGCAGGGAACGGGACCTCGGGGGGCAGCGACGCTCCAGCAGGCCGCGGCGGGCTCGGTTCCCGCCAGGCGGCAGCCGGGGGTCCCGGGCCGGAGGCCGGGCCTAAGCGACAACCCGGCTCCGCGCGGGGGAGGGGGCGTCTACTCACACGTGCTGACAGGCCGCAGTCCGCACGGGCGTTTTGAGCACCTCCTGACAGACGGGGCAGTAGAAATCATCTTCGGTGTAGGACGTGGCCGCGGAGAGGTCCTCGGCCATGGCGGGGGATGGGGAAACAAGGCGATGGCGACAGCGGCAGCGGCCGAGGTGACGGTGGCGGCCCGGGGCCCGACTCCCTACGCGAACCCGGAGGGGGGAGGGGGATCGCGTCAGGATGCGGCGCGCGCCAGGAAGGGGGCGGGGCCCTGGGTAGGGCGGGGCCGAACGCAGAGACGCGACTGCCGCACGCGCTGGGCAAGAGGCGACCCCTCCCACGGCTCCTCCCACAGGGGCTGGATGGGGGCGGTGCTTGGCGGGAGGCTGGGCTTGCAGCGTGCCGTGGGCCAGCCCGGCTCGCCCCCAGGCCGCGGCCTCACGCCCCAGGCCACGCCCTCACCGAGCTCCAGGCGCGGGCTGTAGCTCCGCCCTCAGCCCTCGTCTTCGCCCAAGGTCTTCCTTTTCACCGTTTTCCCGCCTCTTCTCCTCACCCCGACCCCGAGCCCCGAGCCCCCAGCCCGTGTCCGCGACTTCCTCCCCGCCTCGCTTCCCGGCACCCCGGCCCCTCCACGCTTCCGCCGGGGGGACCCTCACCTAGGAGCCCCGAAGCGGTGCTGTGGACGGAGCTGCTTTTCCTTCACGTGTTCGTAGAGACGCGGCCCTGCGCTTTCCTCGGGCTTCCTGTCCGGCCGCCGCTACCTTCGCAGCCGAGGCCCCGGGGCAAATGGAGGGCGGCCTGCGCTGTGCTTATCGGCCCCAAACGGGGCCGGACCCGAGGCTCATGGTGTAGGGAGATTGGCCCGCCCCCGCCAGCAGCTCTCTCTTGGCATCGCGCTGCCTACAGCCTACCCGGCCGTCACCGAACGCGGGAGCGCCTGGGAGCCGGGACGGGGTGTGAAGCGCGGCCTCTATAGCAACCGGCGCGTGGCACCTTCTGCGGGTTGTGACATAAGCAGCTGGGCGCCCGCGGTGACACCTGCGCCTCCCCGCCCTGCCTCCCTAGGCCCGGGACCCCAGCCACCTCTCCTGTCAAATACATTGGGCTTTTCAGGAAGTTTTCGTCAATGTTCAAGATTTAGTCTTTACTATTTGCCCCACCAGAATGTTTTGATCTTGTCAAGATGTGTTATAAACAAATATTTGTTATAGGATTTTAATCCTTTGGGGACAGGATTAAAGTTTCCTTGAGAGGATGTCCACTTTCTCCTTTAACGGCATGACTGATGCTTAAATACGGTCGCAGATGGCGTCTTCTACCCACACCTTTGGGTTGATTTTTGATTTTTTCTTTTTTTTTTTTTAGCTTTGAAGAGAAATGCTGTAGAAGCATGGACGTGGATTTTCACCAAGGTTATTCACTAATTTAAGTGTTTTATTTTATTTTGTTCTTTTTTTGTTTTTTTGAGACAGGTACTCACTCTATCTCCCAGGCTGGAGTGCAGTGGAGTGATCTTGGGTCACTGCAACGTCTGCCACCCGGTTTCAAGCGATTCTGCCCCCTCAGCCTCCCGTGTAGCTGGGACCACAGGCGTGTGCCACCACACCCGCTAATTTTTGTGTTTTTATTAGAGACAGGGTTTTACCACGCTGGGCAGGCTGGTCTTAAACTGACCTCAAGCGATCCACATGCCTGGGCCTCCCAAAGTGCTGGAATTACAAGCGTGAGCCACCACGCCTTGCTTGTTTTTTTGTTTTGTTTTGTTTGTTTGTTTGATGAGCCCTTAATTTCCAGATATATCTGCACAATTGATAATTTATAAGATGGTTCAGCCTGGATAACAGAGTGAGACTCCGTCTCAGAAAAAAAAATAGAGAAGGCTGGACGCACGCCTGAAATCCAAGCATTTTGGGAGGCCACGGCGGGTGGATCACTTGAGGTCAGGAGTTCAAGACTAGCCTGGCCAACATGATGAAATCCCATCTCTACCAAAAATACAAAAGTTAACCGGACATGGTGGTGGGAGCCTGTAATCCCAGGTACTCGGGAGGCTGAGGCACGAGAATCACTTGAACCTGGGAGGCAGAGGTTGCAGTGAGCTGAGATTGTGCCACTGCACTCCAGACCTGGCGACAGTGAGACTCTGTCTCAAAAAAAAAAAAAGAAAAACAGAAAAAAAGGATAAATCTATAAGATGGGATCACAATGACCTGAAAGAAGCTAAGGAAAATCTGGAACATTATATAGCATATTCAATTAGCTTCAGAGAAAAGAAAGGTTTTATTACCATACTTTGTTAAAACCCTCCCCCATGGTCTAAATGAATAAATAGAAGCCATTTAAGGGACTAGTTAAATCAATTCTGCCATTTATTGGCTATGTTGACATTGGCACTGTTAGGTGTTATGCAGATGTCATGAACTTTGCTTTCAACTAGTTTACATTATTACATATCTATCAGAATGAGAGAGAAAAAATGGTATTTGCCAAAGTATCAAATTTTGCATTAAGCGATGGCTATAATGAGGATCGGAAATGGAATGATTAGAAATATATGGATTTAACAGAAAACGTTATGGAGGAAACGGGTTTTAGTGTACATCTCAAAAGCAGCCCAGGAGGCGGAAGTTGCAGTGAGCTGAGATCACACCACTGCACTCCAGCCTGGGTGACAGAGCAAGACTCAATCTCAAAAAATAAAAATAAATAAAACTCTCCAGTCAAATGAGATGGACCTTGATATGCTAAAGAGAAAAATAAAATAATTTAGAATACTGATTTCTTGACAAGGCCTGGCTTTATCTTACTACAAACCCTCAAAATCCTGTTTTGCTGGTAAAAGTGATCGCCTTTGAAGAAGTGAACTGGGAAACTGGAGGATGGAACAGGAGAGAGGCTCATGTTTCACTCTCTACCCTTTGGTATCTTTGTAAATTGGTACCACGTGCAGTGTTGACGCTCAGCTGGTTTGTACCAGTACCACTTTCCCAGTCTTTTTCAGCCTTGTCCATCCTGATTGGTCAGTAGTCTGTTCTGAATGACCAGCGCCAATTTGGTTCCAGTTGCTAAATATTTTTAATATTACTCTCGACTATGTACATACATGACTGTTCCATGAAAGGGCTATATATGCAAAGTGACTCTCAAATGCAGAAGAAGCCAAAAATCCAAAGAAGAGGCAAACAAATCCAGGAGTTCGCTGGTAGCAGGTGATTTACTGGGGAACTTATGGATGGAAGTGTGGTCTTGGGCAGCAGCAAGACAGGCGGGTCTTTGTACTGTTATCCTGCAGACCCAGGGCTTTTATACCATCAGGAAAGGGTATACATAATGTGTAGGAAAATTAAAGTTCACCCCTGAGGGAAAGACAAGAATACTATGTGGATTACAGCCTATAATTTGCTTAAGGGCAGGATTTATGATTAAGAACATGCTCTTTTTACACAAGGAATCATAAAGAAGAACTCTTAGGGGCATTCCTGGAACTAGGGTTAATTGGAAGTTAACCTAGCATGTTAACATCCATGATGGAGTTCTTTAAGCTCCACTATAACCAATTATGTAGGGAAAACTCTAATCCTATTTTACCTTTACTCTCATACCACCACAACAATCAACACAGAAGAAGACTTCTGTGAACAAATATGTGGGGGTTTTTCCCCTCGCACCAAGCAGCAGACAGCAGCTGGGTGTCCCCTAATTCAGTTCCTACCTACCCAGAGACAGTGTCAGATCCCACAGGTTGGGGGCCCAGTTCCCAAGACTGGCTTCCATACCCCCAGACACCACTTACGAGTCCGGGCCTCCAGAACTTCTGATCAATGAGCTTCAAGTTGCGGTTCCCACAGTCCACTCTTTGGGTTTCATTAATTTGCTGGAGCAATATCCTTTATAATACACCAGTAATTGTATTTCTCTGAGTTCTGTGCGCTGCTCCAGCAAATTAATGAAGCCCGAAGAGTGGGCTGTGGGAACCACAACTTGAAGCTGGAGCAGCGCAGAGAACTCAGAGAAACACGATTACTGGTGTATTATAAAGGATATTGCAAATGATACAGATGACAAGATGCATGGAGTAAGGTATGGGGGAAGAGGTGCAGAGCTTCCATGCCCTCGCTGGATTGGCCCTTTCCTCTTACCAGTGGTTTAAGCGTGAGTCTGTATGTGACTCAATTATGACCAAAAGGCTGTGAAGGGAATTATTATGAGGGGCAACAGCAAGTACTTTTCTTTGATGATCAAAGACAAGGCCAGGCATGGTGGCTCATTCCTGTAATTCCAGCACTTTGGGAGGTTGAGGTGGGAGAAGAGCTTGAGGTTAGGAATTTGAGACCAGCCTGGACAACATAGTGGGACCCTGTCTCTACTAAAAAATTTTAGAGGCCAGACATGGTGGCTCACACCTGTAATCCCAAAACTTTGGGAGGCCGAGGTGGGTGGATCACCTGAGGTCGGGAGTTTGAGACCAGCCTGATCAATATGGAGAAACCCTGCCTCTGCTAAAAATACAAAATTAGCTGGTCATGGTGTTGCATACCTGTAATCCCAGCTACTTAGGAGGCTGAGGCAGGAGAATCGCTTGAACCTGGGAGGCGGAGGTTGCAATGAGCTGAGATCATGCCATTGCACTTCAGCCTGGGCAACAAGAGCAAAACTCCGTCTCAAAAAAAAAAAAAATTAGAAATTAGCATGGTGTGGTGGCTCACACCTGTAATCCCAGCTACCCAGGAGACTGAATTAGGAGGATTACTTGAGCCTGGGAGGTCGAGGCTGCAGTGAGCCATGATCACTCCACTGCACTCCAGCCTGAGCAACAGAGAACCTGTCTCAAAAAAATAACCAAAAAACTACAAATATCTAGGTGCAGTGGTGTGCACCTATAGTCCCAGCTATTCGAGAGGCTGAGGCAGGAGGATTGCTTGGGTCCAGGAGTCCTACCTAGGCAACATAGCAAGAGCTTGTCTCTTAAAAAAAAAAAAAAAAAAAAAAAAAAAGACAAATCTACTCCCCCATCTAGATGTTTCTGTGTCTGTATGTGCTACGTGGAACTGCTGCAAGCAGGATGAAACCATGCAAAGAGTCAGCCGTGAAAAGATAAGCCAATGTGCTGAAGGTGGCAAAGTTGAAAGACGGAAAGAATATATAGGTTCTTGATGTATTAATAGTTGAGTTATTCAATTAGTCAACCCCAAAACTGCCCTGCCTCCTATCTGTTAATCAAGATTAATTAAACACCTAGTTTGAACCATTCTCAGTGGGTTCTTTGGTTATTTGTAGCTGGAAGTATCTGACCTAGGCATTTGCTTGTTCACAACTCAATCCCTTTCCGCATCTCTTTCCCTGTTCTGCTTTGTGTTGTTGGAGCTGACTCTTATAAACTGTTTCCCAGTTTCCCTTGCCAGCTGACATCTGGCTATATTCAGCCAATACGAAGCACCAATGAGAGATCAGGAAGGAAGGAAGGACAAAACCAAGTTATTCCTCCCTCTCTGTCTCTCTCTGTCTGTCTGTCTGTCTGTCTGTCTGTCTCTCTCTCTCTCTCTCTCTCTCTGAGAAGGAGTTTCACTCTTGTTGCCCAGGCTGGAGTACAATGGCAGTCTCGGCTTACTGCAACCTCCACCCCCACGTTCAAGCGATTCTCCTGCCTCAGCCTCCCAAGTAGCTGGGATTACAGGCGCCCGCCACCACACCCGGATAATTTTTTGTATTTTTAGTAGAAATGGGGTTTCACCATGTTGGTCAGGCTGGTCTCAAACTCCAGACCTCAGGTGATCCTCCCGCCTCGGCCTCCCAAAGTGCTGGGATTACAGTTGTGAGCCACCTCGCCCAGCTCTCTCTCTCTCTCTCTCTCTCTCTCTCTCTCTCTCTGCTTCTGGCAGTGGTTTCATTTCTTCCTCAGTTTTGGCTTCTGTGAGGCTGCACTTCCTTTGGTCCTGCTTCCTGCTGGGCAGGCCC